TTGTTTATTCTTTCTATTGTTTCCCTCATGTGAGGGGTTATGGTGTCCGAAAAGATTCTTTTGAAGCTGATGTCAAAGAGTGTACTGTCTATATTCTCTTCTAGAAGACATTGTTTCAGGCCTAATCTTTAGGTCTTTGATCCATTTTGAGTTTATTTTAGTAAATGGTGAAAAAGAATGGCTGATTTTCATTCTTTTACATGTGGCTGTCCAGTTTTCCCAGCACCATTTGTTGAACAGACTTTCTTTCCTCCATTGCAGGCCCTTAGCTCCTTTGTCGAAGATTAGCTGTCCATAGATGTGTGGTTTTATTTCTGGGCTTTCAATTCTGTTCCATTGATCTGTGCACCTGTTTTTGTATCAGTACCATGCTGTTTTGATTACTGTAGCTTTGTAGTATGTTTTGAAGTCAGGGATTGTGATGCCTCCAGCTGTGTTCTTCTTTCTCAGGATTGCTTTAGCAATTCGGGATCTTTTGTTGCCCCATATGAATTTTAGGATTCTTCGTTCAATTTCTGTAAAGAATGTCATTGGGATTCTGATTGGGATAGCATTGAATCTGTAGATTGCTTTAGGTAGTATGTACATTTTAACTATGTTTATTCTTCCAATCCATGTGCATGGAATGTCTTTCCATCTCTTTATGTCATCATCAATTTCTTTCAGGAAAGTCTTGTAGTTTTCATTGTATAGATCTTTCACTTCTTTGGTTAAATTTATCCCAAGGTATTTTATTCTTTTTGTTGTGATTGTGAATGGGATTGAGTTCTTGAGTTCTTTTTCTGTTAGTTCATTGTTAGCGTATAGAAATGCTACTGATTTATGTACATTGATTTTATACCCTGCAACTTTGCTGTAGTTGTTGATTGTTTCTAATAGTTTTCCTATGGATTCTTTGGGGTTTTCTATATATAAGATCACGTCGTCTGCAAACAGCGAGAGTTTTACTTCTTTGTTGCCTATTTGGATTCCTTTTATTTCTTTTTCCTGCTGAATTGCTCTGGCCAGCACCTCCAGTACTATGTTGAATAAGAGTGGTGAAAGTGGGCACTCTTGTCTTGTTCCGTTCTGAGAGGGATGGCTTTCAGTTTTTGTCCATTGAGTATGATGTTGGCTGTGGGTTTGTCATATATGGCCTTTATTATGTTGAGGTACTTTCCTTCTATACCTATTTTATTGAGGGTTTTTTAATCATAAATGGATGTTGGATCTTGTTGAATGCTTTCTCTGCATCTATTGAGATGATCATGTGGTTTTTGTTTCTCATTTTGTTAATGTAGTGTATCACATTGATTGACTTGTGGATGTTGAACCATCCCTGTGTCCCTGGTATAAATCCCACTTGATCATGGTGTATAATCTTTTTGATGTATTGCTGTATTTGGTTTGCCAGAATTTTGTTGAGGATTTTTGCATCTATGTTCATCAGTGATATTGGCCTGTAGTTTTCCTTCTTTGTGTTGTCCTTGTCAGGTTTGGGGATGAGGGTGATGTTGGCTTCATAGAATGTGTTAGGGAGTACTCCATCTTCCTCAATTTTCTGGAATAGTTTGAGAAGGATAGGTATTAAATCTTCTTTGAATGTTTGGTAGAATTCTCCAGAGAAGCCGTCCAGTCCTGGACTGTTATTTTTGGAGTATACCCTTATTTTTAATTTTTATTTTCTTTTGCTTTTTCTCCCCCAAATCCCCCCAGTACATAGTTGTATATTTTAGTTGTGGGTCATTCTAGTTGTGGCATGTGGGACACTGCCTCAACGTGGCCTGATGAGTGGTGCCATGTCTGCGCCCAGGATCTGAACTGGCGAAACCCTGGGCCGCTGAAGCAGAGAGCACAAACTTAACCACCCGGCCACGGCACTGGCCCCTACACCCTTATTCCTACAAGGTACCTTCCCCAGTAGCTTCCTGAGTATATGCAAGTTAAAATTTTTGAGAGTTGTTTTCACTTTGACATCTTTTCCTACTCCTCACATTGGCTCTATTTCCTGTCTCTTTTCTCTTTTTCTCTCCTTCTTTCCTTCCTTCTCTCTCTCTTTCACTTTCTCTCTCTCTTTCTTTTGTTTGTTCATTTGATGTTCTTTCATATAAGAGAGTTTCTTCAGACCCTTGACTATTCACCCACATTTAAGAATGAGATGGCAGGTGCCACCCCTGTGGCCGAGTGGTTGGGTTCCCATGCTCCACTTCCACGGCCCAGGGTTTCGCTGGTTTGGATCCTGGGCGCCGACATGGCACAGCTCATCAGGCCACGCTGAGGTGGCATCCCACATGCCACAACTGGAAGGACCCACAGCTAAAAATACACAACTGTGTACCGGGGAGCTTTGGAGAGAAAAAGTTGATTACAGCCTCTGTTGGTATGGGCAGAGCTTGCTGGGCTTCACTGTAAAGATAGGTGACAAGCTACGTTCTCCATTATAGGACCCCCAAACATCAATATTTGTAGGCATTTTCTCTTGGACCAGCTGCTTTCCCCTCAAGAGGAAGCTTCCAATTTTCAGACGGGATCCCAAAATTCTAGAATCTGAATTTGGGAACAAAGCTGAGGGGATAGGTCTCATAATTCAATATGTACAACTTCATTTAATTCTGCTTTTTTGTGGAGTGGGTCATCCCGGTCCTCAGCTCTGCCTGGTGTCCAAAGGAGCTCTGAGTCAACCTCTCCAGAAAGTAAACCTCCTATCTTCTGCTGAGTTAAGGCAACATGGGATGGGGTTGGGATTAGGAGGAAGGAAGGATCCCACTGTCCTTCATAAAACTTTCGTAATGAGTTCCGGTTTTCAGTCCCACTCTACCTCTGCTTTCAGAGGTACGGCAGCTATAGTTTCAGAGCCCTTCCAGGGTCTGTGAGGTGAACAGGTTCACTCCGGCTGGCTCCACCCCTCCACAAAGCTTAGGTATTAACCTTCCCAGTTTTGGTGAGTCAGTTATCACTCATCCATCTGTTTTCCATGTTCCGAAGTTTTGCTGACACCCTTCTTCAGCAGAGATCTCTTTTCTTGTTTGCTTTGTTTTTATGGGTTTATATCTTATTTATTCCTTCACTGTAATTTTAATGAGGTATCTGGAATGAGTGGAGAAAAACGTGTTCAATGCACCATGTTTAGTCAGAAGTCTCCTTACCATTAGGTCTTAACATGCGTAGATGTAATTAACATATTTTCTAAGTAGGAAAAGTCCAAGTATACTTATAGGCAATTCCATAAGAATTAGATATAAGTGGAGCCGGCCTGGTAGCGCAGCAGTTAAGTGTGCTCATTCCACTTCAGCGGCCTGGGGTTCGCCAGTTCAGATCCCGGGCGCGGACATGGCACCGCTTGGCACGTCACATTGTGGTGGGAGTCCCACATATAAAGTAGAGGAAGATGGGCATGGATGTTAGCTCAGGGCCAGTCTTCCTCAGCAAAAAGAGGAGGATTGGCAGCTGTTAGCTCAGGGCTAATCTTCCTCAAAAAAAAAAAAAAGAATTAGACATAAGTACAATAATAGGATAACTATGCCTTTCATTGAGTGCTTATATGTGCTAAGCAGTCTTTTAAATGCTTATACGTATTATATATATTACATATTTATCCTCACAATAACCCCATGAGATGAGTGCTGTGATTCAACTCCTAGCAGTCTGCTTCCAGAGCCCCTGTGCTATATAACATGGTACATCATTTTCTAAGCTACAGGTTCATCTTATTTTCAATTTATCAGGTCTCTAGTCAATCCCTATTTATTATTAACTTCAGTTATATTGGAGGTTTTTCATGTAGATTTTGAACATTTACAGTACATTATCTGAAGTGGCAAAGCCAGCATCACTTTTGATGTATCTCTTTGAGGATACATGTAGGAGGTGGAAGAGAGTAGTCTGACAAATTTGAAAGCATAGTCACTTAAGCTGGGAAGCCTGGCGTGTGTTTGTTTTATAATACAGACAGATGGGCATTTCCTCTTAAAGACAGCAGTTACCACCTGTAATCTGAGAGGTCAAAAAGAAGCAATTAGAAATCTCACATTAGTAACATAAAACTTTAAAGCACCTGTTTACATGAAAGATGATATCTGCAAGAGTTTAACATATTAAATCACTGATGGCCTTGAACACTCTAATTCAGAGAAATCAACCCCTCGTACTTCGAAGATTTTAGGACAAGTTTCATGATCACTCTTTCTAAGGCTACTCACTACTCCCACACTACTATCACTTCTGTGAAAATTCTTTGTGAGATAAATATAAATATTTTATTATGCTATATATACAATATATATATATATATGCCTCTCAAAGCCTTGCTGCCTCTCAATTCCTTGACCACCTGTCTTCAAACAATCTTGTGCCTTCTGCTGTCTCAGCTCCCCACTCTCATGATCATTCCCTACACCTTGACATTACTGACAATGAGAGCCTCGCTTCTAATTTTAATTTCAAGCTTCCTACTCTCCAACCCATCTCTTATCTTTTCAGGTCATTCTCTACAGTGCCTAAACTCCAACAATTCTTCAGCCTGATCAGAAACACCAGCCTATTTACCCTACCGACTTTTCACCACTCTCCACCTGTCTTGTAGCCTTACTTCTCACCGTGACTGAAATTATATGTCTTCTTTGTTTCTACTCTCAACTACTTTGCCCACCTCTCCCCACCATACTTGCTTGACCAAATCTCAGTCCTGGTTAATCCCAACAGCCTACTCAGTGCTTGCACATGAGCAACTGTATATGGCTGGAGAAAAACGCACAACCATATTGACTAGTCTCACTATAAATTCATGACCACTTCCTCAGGTGGGCCCTTCCTAGTAGCCTGGAAACCTTACTATGTTTCCCTAGTCAATTCCTGCTCCCACACTTACAGACTACTATTCCACCTTTCTTCCTCTCTCCTCCTCCTTCCAAAACTCCGCCCTCATTACTTTCAGTTAATGACTACATTAGCTAGAGTAGGCTAAACAAATAGACCCCTAAATGTTATGGTTCCAACTCACTAGAAATTTATATCTTGCTCACATAATAATCCAGAGTGGGTGTTCCAGGTCAGTGGACAGCTCTCCTTCATCCAGGCATCTTCTTTCTTGCGGCTCTGTCAACTTCAGGGGCTGTGGTTATCTGCATAATCCAGCTGGCAGAAGGGAAAAACGCATGAAGGAGGCACACTGGCTTGGCAGTGCCAGACAGCATTTCTGCTCACATTCCATTAGCAATAACTTAGTACTTGACCATACCTCCCTGAAAGAGAGGCTGAGAAAAATAGTCTCTGTGCCCAGGAAGAAGGGGAGAATAAATTGTGATGGACAATTAGCAGTCTGCCAAAATGATCTTGCTTCTTATTTCAGTAAGAAAATAGAAGGAACTAGAAAAGAACTTCCACTTTGTCCCACTATCAAATCCACAAGCCTACTTCAGTATATCCCATTTACATGGGAACTGGGGGGATTAGATTTCTAGGCTGCTCCTGATCACAAAAGGGCAGTTTCCAAGCTTTCAATTAGAACAACATGGTCATAATGACCACACCACCTTATCACAAAATTCAAGCATACCTTGTTCCCTTGCGCTTTTCATCCTCTGTGGTTTTGGATATTGTTCGTCATCATTCCTTCTGCCCCTGCCTTTGTGAAACTCCAATTTACCTTGCTTTGGTGATTCTGCATTACCCTGGTTCTTCTCCTCCCTCTTTGCTGGCTTCTCTCATCTAGTTTAGATCCATTCTTTATTTGTTGGCGTTTCTCATGTAGGTCAGAGATTCTCAAACTTTAATGTGACACAAACCACTTGGGGGTCTTGTTAAATTGAAGATGCTCATTCAGCAGGTCACGTGTGGGGAGGGCTGAGAGTCCACCTTTCTAACAAACTCCCTGGTGATGCCAGTGCTGCTGGCTCATTGACCACACTTTGAGCAGCAAGGTTCTAAAGAAGACATTCTCCAAGATTCTGCCCTTTGTTTTCTTCTTTTCTCTCACAGGGGTATCACTACGAGGCTGATAACTTCCCATCTATTTTCTAGTTCAATTCTCTTTCCCATACTTCAAAACTCTTATCTCTAACTTCCTAGTGTCCACCTCTATCTGGCTGTTTTGACAACATTTCAAACCCTTAAAAATGCCCAAATCTAAACGGATCTCTCAAAAACCAGTTCCTGCTCCTGTCTCTTATTGTTTCTTTTCCATCTTTTATAATTTCTACCACCTCAAAACCTCCACTATCTTTGCTTTTTCTCTTCCTCCTTCATATATTAACTTTTAAATAGTCTCATGCTATCCCCTCTTGCTGTAAAACCAGTTAATAAACTGCCAAATTCTGTAGATTCTGCTTCCACACCATCTTTCAACTAAGCTTATTTAAATTCCTCCTGCCCTACCTTTAGTTTAGACTCATCATTATCTTTCAGCTGGCCTATTGCTGGTCTCTCTGGCAATTTTCCCACCTCTAATTTCTGTACCCATTCACAGATGGATCAAAAAGTCTTGCTTTTCTTCCCCCAAACTTGTAAACTATGAAACCCAAAGTACTGAAATAAATACACCTTCTTCCACTTGGCCTCCCAGGTCCCATTCTCCTCTGTCGCTCCCATTTCTCAACATGCCCTAGAATCTTACCGTTTGCTTTTTCCTGCACACGACGCTCACTGATTCATCCTCATATACGTTCTCACGCTATTCCTTCTTGCTGTAAAACTATCCCCATCTCCTTCAAGCTCAGTCCCAAATGCCTCGTTCCTCCATGCTCCTTCCTTCCTGGCCCCCAGAGCTGAGTTCTTTCATCTTCTGCAGTACTCTGTATTTTTCACGTGGCACCTATCATGGTTTGTCTTTTATTATAACTGTTTCATCTTTGTTTTATTCCTCACTCTCTGTAGGCAAGGATATCTTCATCTCCCCTCTGTAATCCTGCAGCATCTTACCCATGGGGGTGTGTGTCTCTAATATTAGTTGAATCAAAGTGATTTAGGGAGACAATGTGACGCGGTGGTAAGCAGCACAGAAATTTGAAATCAGTACAGCTGGGTCCCGGCTCTGCCGTTGATTAGCTGTGAGGCTTTGTGTAAGTCACTTAACCTGGCTTGTAAAGTGAGAATGCTACTACCTGATGGAGCATCAAGGGAGATAAGGTCCAAGTGTCCTGTAACTCGACAGAGAACTGAGCGATGTTCGTTCTGTTCCTTAGAGAAGGGTGTGATGTGTAGTCTTGCTATTCAAATCTTGATTTGCAGGACCATCCCTACTTCACTAACAGGAGGCCGAGCCCCGAGTGGCTGGGAACCCGGCCACCAGGTCGCACGGTCCTTTTCCACTCCAGGGCCCTCTAACTGCTCTCCACTATGCGCGTGAAGCCGCTGAACTGCGGGGGAATGGCCAGGAGTCCTATTCTCCCGGGAGGCCTCCCTCCTCCCACTGGCTCTGGAAGAGCCCTTCTCTTCCCGGGAACCCCGAAGACCGCGGCACCGCCGCCTACGTGAGACGTTTGGACCCTGCCCGGCCCCCGTAGCTCCCCTTCTCCAGCAGGTGGTTCTGGTCCTCTCCCCCAACTCGGGGCGCTCACGTCAGCGGCGAACCTCTACCCACGCGCCAGCGCCGCAACCAACCGAGAAAATAAACAAACCCCCGCGCGCGGCGGCCGGCACGCCAGGCCCCGCCCCCGGCCCGCCCCGCGGCTCTCACACCGCCCCCTCCGCCGGGACTTCCCTCCCGCCCTCGGCTCAGCCGCGCTCTCCCCGCCCCTCACCGCAGCCTCGGCCGCGCTCCCCGCCGCGGTCCACCAGCCCGCCCGGCCGCGGCGCCCGGGGCCCGTTAGTGCTCGGCGCCCGCTCGTGACCCCCGCCCGGCGCGAGCCTGTCCCCGCCTCTCGACACTTGACCCAGCCCCCGTCCCTACGCCCAGTGCGGTCGCCCCGGAGCCGCGGGAGCGGCGGCGGCAGGGGGAGGCGGGAGAGGAGGGCCGAGCCGGCGGCCGGGAAGGCCCGGTGAGTACGCGGAGGGCGGGCCGCCTGGCGGGGTCCGCTTCGGCGCCCCCGAGGCGGTCGTGGCGGCTCGGCCGCGCTGCTCCGTGCGCCTCGGGCTCGGCTGTTGGGGACTCGGCCTGAGGCGACGGGCCTCGCTGGCCGGAGCCTCTGGGCAGAGGGCGCGGGAGGGCCGTTCCTTGGAAAGGGCCGCGGCCCCGGCGCGCCGCGCAGGGCTCGGGGGTGGCGGAGAGAGACCGCGCCGGCCCCAGGCCCGGGCGCCCCGGCCGGGGCCACGCCGCCCAGACCCCGCGGGCCCGGGGCCGGGGCCCGGGGCCACCGTGGTCGCGGGGCCGCCGAGTGACAGGTGCCGCCGCCCCCTCCCCGCCGCGGGCATCGCGCTCCCTCCGGGGGTGTCGGGCGCTCGGAAATTTCTGGAGCGACAACCTGACTCGCTGTGTCCTCCCTTCCAGGTTTTCGAAGCCGCTTCTCTGCCCGAGGTAGGTCTCGCCCAGCCCGATTTCTTTCTCTCTGTACTTTGTGCGACTAAGTTTTGGCGCATCGGCTAGGATCCTGTGGGTGAGACTTGGCTCTCACTCACGGACCGGGGATAGTGAGTTACTCTTTGAAGAAAGTGCTCCTCCTCCTCCCTCTGGCTCAGGAAAAGTAAATGAGGAGAGTTTTGAAGTTTGCTTTTTGCTGTTATTTGGAGTCTTTCAGACTTTTTGTCAGATGTCTAGCATTTCGGGTGCTTAGTGGATATTGGATAGTAATGACAAAAGTGGCTTAGTAAATTGCGCTTTATCTCCGGCGTGTCTTACGTTTTCGTTCTTACCTCAGCCAGGTTTTACAGCTGAGTAGGTGCTGCGGCTTTCATTAGGAGCGCTGATGGAATATCTTTCTTTTTTTAACTGAAGAGCCTGTGAAACTTTTTCTAACCATTCAGTATTGCCTATTTCTGTATGTAGTGAATGTGCTTGTGATTGTAACCGGAATCATAAGTTTAATAAATTTGACTTGCCGCTATAAGAATATTAGTGGAACTTTATGGCAAATTAAAATATTAAAAATGTTTAATCTGTGGATATACGGATTTTTTTTTCCTCAACAAGTTCGTAATACTATAGTTGAGATTAGTCAAATTCTAATCAATGGGAGATATTCTTAATTGTCATTAATGGTTTTAACAAACGTATCTGTAAGATACCAATACAGTGGCTTCGCTTGATGGACTAAATGCATGAACCTAGAAGGAAACCAAAAGAACATTGAGGGGGGCCAAAAATAATGTGCTTTATTCATGGGACAATCCATTAGGTTCTCACTCAGCACCTGCTTATACGTTTCACTTAGATTTTTCAGCCCTTGGAAATTAGGCACTGCAGATTGCAGAGGGGAGGCAGTATTTAACTATGAAGAGACAATGGAATTTGAGGCATATCCATTAGGTTGATGTGGTTCGTTTGCAGTAAGTGTGTTGGGAGCAAAGTTTTGGTATGCACTTGGCACTTCTTGGTTGTGAATCTTAGTTTATAAGAAGCCAAAGTGAAAGATATTGTTTAGTTGTGTTATCTGAGGAACAGAACATAGAATAGAATAGAACATAAAATGGAACAGAACATACATCTAAGTTAAATTTCAAGGAGGCCACACTAATTGTCACCTGCATAGTTTTGCTTTCTTTGTTGATGAGACTAACTGGTTGATAGTGTTAATGGAAGATGACTGTCATTCATTTTATGAAAAGAGATATATTTGATTGTTCTTGACTGAGGAGTTTATACATATATCAGTTTTGAAGTGCCCTACTTGTGGTTCCCAGGACTGAGGTATGGCTTCAGCTACCGTCTTTCTTGACTCTGTAGTCCAGAGAGATGAGGTAATAGAGGCTGTGGTCCTCAGAAGCTTGGTAGACAGGACCAAGAGTACCAGCCATTTAGAAATTCTGCTCTTGCAATTTAGGCTATTCAGTTGTTTACTTAAGCACCTTATGTAGCCTAATTCTTTTTAATCAACACTTTAAAACCAATTATGTTTTCTAAGCAAATGTTTCCTAAACAAAATTAGTTGTGGTGCTGATCACTTGTATAATGGCATTTAAAATGAAACAACTTTGAACTGCTGATAATCATTGTTAATTCACGTTTGCATTATGGGAATTGGGGATTAGCTACAGTGCACTTTGCATTTTCTTTTGCTGTCCATTCTACTTTTTTTTTTTTTGAGGGACATCAGCCCTGAGCTAACTACTGCCAATCTTCCTCTTTTTGCTGAGGAAGACTAGCCCTGAGCTAACATTTGTGCCCATCTTCCTCTGTTTTATACGTGGGACGCCTACCACAGCATGGCATGCCAAGCGGTGCCATGTCTGCACCCGGGATCCGAACTGGCGAACCCTGGTCTGCCGAGAAGCGGAACATGCGAACTTAACTGCTGCACCACCGGGCCGGCCCTGTCCATTCTACTTTAGAGCATATCTTTCAATGCATAGATAACTGTGTACTTGGGGAATGTAAATATTTTTTAAAAAAGCACAAATGTGGTAAATTTATCTTTTGTATGCCAGGTCCAGTGGTATTTGTTAGGGATAGAAAGAAGAGGCCCTTGCCTTTCAGGATGTTGAAATAGGGATTATATGGGGTTAGGCACAACAGTAAACAGATAATTTTAATGGAATCCATTCAGTAATAAAAGTAAATATAAAGTACAGAAATCTAACAGAGGAAGGAAGGATTAATTTGAGAATCGGGTCAGAGAAAGTTTCATAGAGATGCTAGCACCTGGGCGGGATTTTGAGGGATGAATATAAGTTTTAAGTGGAAGAGACAGAGGGCATTTTAGACAAAGGGAGCAGCATAAAGATATGAACAAACAAAACTAAACATGCATTACGGAAATTTTGAGTAGGTTGTTTTGTTGGAGTACAAATCTAAGGAAGGATAGCTGTTACAGAAAGCCCTAACATACAATGTTTAACGTCAGATAATTGGCATATTCAGTATATCTAAAATGGAGACTTCACTATAATTTGACATTGTGATCTCAAGTATAGAGGAATTAATAGTTTTTACTAATGGTAGTCATTAAGAAATTATAAAATATTACACTTATATGTGGTAGGCTGCCTGCATGTTTATATTTGTGAACTTATTTGTTTCTTGTGCATTTTGACCTGAATCATTTGTTTTTAAATTATCTTGTGAGGAATTGGCCCTATGGCTGAGTGGGTAAGTTTGCACGCTCCGCTTTGGCAGCCCGGGGTTTGCTGGTTCACATCCTGGGTGTGGACCTCCACACCGCTCATCAAGCCACGCTGTGGCGGCATCCCACATAGAAAAACTAGAAAGACCTGCAACTGGTATATACAACTCGGTACTGGGGCTTTGGTTGGGGGGTGAGAGAAGAGGAGGATGGGCAACAGATATTGCTCAGGGCCAATCTTCCTCACACACACACTCACAAAAGCATAAAAAAGTTATCTTGTGAATTTTCTGTTGTCTTCCTTCAACTACTTAAATTAGCTTTTAAATTATTTTTAAAAAGACTCAAAGGGAAGTGAGGAAACATATGAAATAATCATTAGATTTCTGGACTAGAAACCTAATTTGTGTAGTATTTTAGTAATATGTAAATGTCTGTTTAATGTTCAGCACTAGCCACCATGTTCCTAGACTGACCAGTGTGAGTAGGTTAGTGTGGATGTCTATTAAACTTTATTTTTTGCATTGTATACCTTAATTATATTCATATCATTTAAGTGTATATATAAATGTCTGAGATTTTAAAGACCGTGAGAGAGAGCGAAAGGGAAAATAGGAGGGAGAGGGAGAAGAGCTCTGTTTGAATCTGTTTATTCTAATGTCTCTTAGATATGACTGTAGATAGAGATGCAGTTTAGGACACAGACTGAAGGAATACTGACCCTAGCCATGCCCTAAAATAGTGTATTTAAAAAGCCTGATGTTTTCATGGTCTACCTATTTATCCCTTTTTCTCCTCAAGGTTTAAAAAAAAAGTTAATGTGAATTCCTGGATTTGTGCAAATTCTGAAAAATTTGTTAATGAAGGTAATGTTCTCTTAAAAACAGGCAACATAGTCTTTGACAGTTTCTCTCTGTCATTTTTCTTCTGCATTACTAGCATAAAGGACCAGAGGCATCATCTCATTGTCCCCAAACTGGGAGGAGATCTACAGTGTCTGTGTAAAGCTGGGTGGAAAAAAATGTGTTACCTCTTTTTTTTCTTTTTACAGTATATGATTAGGACAGGCAAAATGAAATATAAAGTATTAGGAAAGATACTAAATGTTGAATTTGTATAAAACTTCAGAATCTTTTCAGGGTTTCTAATGAGAAAATTGTGCTTGCTTCCATGAACATAAATTTTTAAATAATAGGTTTATCCATGAAGTAAGAATATACAGTTCCTGATCCAGACTTTTAAATGATGCTTTGTTCAATTGAATCTCCACTGAAATTTTGTTTGGATGAGTAGGTAATAAAAACAAACCAACCATTTTTGTTGTATAACTGTTCAATAATTTATAACAGTTGAAATTATTTTTAAAGAATCTAAAAGCTTTTCTTGTCAAAAACGTAATATGAAACTTCTTGTGATAAAATGAAAAGAGTTCATTTTTAATGATGAGGCTCTAATTTGCAGAAAGCATATGCGTTGTTTGAGCAGTCACCTTGCAGCTAGATTTTTAGGCCATTAAAAAGGCAGGTCATTGGCAAATGGGGGAATATAGAGATTTCAGGAGCAGCCACTGCTCCTCCTACTGCGTGCCTTGTGTTTTGGGCACGTAGAACATAAACTCTTTTAGCAGCTCCACAGGCCTACCTACGGTGATGGGCAGCAGTGCATTCTGCAGCTATATGATGAAGTATATTTCCAGGGGCTTGAGACTTCCCTTGTCACAGCTGACAAATAACTGCACAGCAGCATGTACAGGATTTGTCCTCTGGGGAGCACCAGATGAGGCTGCTTTCATCTGGTTGTGACTGACCCAGAGTCTCTAAATTCTTCAGGGCTTTCTTGGTTGCTCCAAGAACTAAGGGAAACTTTATCTGAGGATACAATGGTAAGGAAGCTTTGCGCTATACAAAGAAAGATTCTATGAGCTTTGGAGATATGTTTTAGCATAGACATTTGTGAACATTTCACTCATGCAGAACAATCCAAATATGAAATTCACAGCTTTGATATCAGTCCTAGAATAGAAAAGAAATTTATCTGCATAAGATATCAGTCATGATAAGCTTAGGTTATACTGCAATAACAGTCTGAAAATCTTGGCAGCTTAAAGCAGCAAAGTTGCTTTCTTGCTCAAGCTACATATCCGTTGCAGGCTAGTAAGGAGACTTTGTTCATGTTAGTTTCAGACTCCATCAGACCTGATTGATGGAGACTATCTTAATGTGTGCTTCTATAATCACAGAAACAGGGAAAAGAGAACGTGATAAACCATGTTCTGGCTTTTAAAGCTTTTTAAAGCTTGTGTTTCACTAGCCAAAGCAAGTCACGTGGTCATGCCTGCATTCAGCAGGAGAGTGATACATAATTCTCCTTCAGGACGGGGCAGTGAATATTTGTGAACAGCTACCACATGCAATTTATAGTCCCAGCAGTTAAAATTAAATACAATAATGGTTGCTGAACAGCTGTGTAGAATTATTGTACCTAAAGTGCTCAAAGCAACTAAAACTTACAGGCTTTTAACATGGCATGTTGAAGTTGAAGCAGAATTAATGTTTTCATAATAGTTTTGAGTCTGGAATTTCTTTTTCATTGTGTAATAGTTTCTCCCTTGTAATAACTTAAAAAGCTCATGCTTGCAGGAAAGATTTAAGCCTAAAAATATCTCATAATTTTTCAGGGTGATGTCGTCTGTGTATGTCATGGTATTTTATCTTGATTTGCGTATATCTGAGCATAGGAACAATAGGTCTTAACATGGTAGTATAATAAAAATACCTTGACTTTATAACTACTATACATCTACAAATATCAGCTCTCATTTTGGTTTTTCTTCATTGTTTAACAAAAAAATTGAAAGATGTCCAAAATAATTTTTTGGATTCTCAGCTTAAGATGGAAGATTGAACACATGCTTCTCATTTTTGTTCTCTCCTGAAAACATACAAACTATGTTGTGTGGTTAGCTTTCAAAATGGACCACAATGATCCTCACCTCCTAGTATTCACTCTTGCATAGTCTCCTCACACACTGAATAGGGTAGACCTATGTAAACAGTTGGGTATTGTGGAAACGACAGTAGCTAGTTCAGATATGAGCACTGTGACTCAAGACAGACGTGATAAAACTACAAGAAAAACAAAGGAATAAGTAACCCCAAAATCAGGCTAATCGTTGACTCTGGGCAGGGGACTTTGGGGGATGCTACTGGGGAGAAGCAGGGGACGAGTTAACGGTCCGTTAATCTTAGTGCTGGATACTTGGAATGTACAGTTATGTTTTTAACTTAATCCTTTCTTCAGTTGTTTTGTACCTGATACATTTCAAAATAAAAATAAACAAATTTCTGAGTTTCACAGTCTATTAAAATCTGTTTCTTTTTGAATTGAAAGAGTGCTTAGTCTTCTAGTAGTTACAAGGCTTCTTACTTTGAACTTGCAGAGTAAGGCTCAGCAAATCTAGGTTTATTTAGGTCCTGATTTTGCCACTTGGAGAGTGATGTTAGGCAAGTCACTTAACCAGTCTAAGCACCAGTTGCCTCATCTTTAAAACTGAATGATTTGGGTTAGATATTACTAGAGAACCTTTAATATCCTGTCTAAGTCTAAAAGGTTCTTTTTTTTTTTTTTTTTAAAGATTTTATTTTTCCTTTTTCTCCCCAAAGCCCCCGGTACATAGTTGTATATTTTAGTTATGGGTCCTTCTAGTTGTGGCATGTAGGCCGCTGCCTCAATGTGGCCTGACGAGCAGTGCCATGTCCACGCCCAGGATCCGAACCGGTGAAACCCTGGGCCGCCACAGTGGAGCCCGCGAACTTAACCGTTCGGCCATGGGGCCGGCCCCTAAAAGGTACTTAAAAAGCTGAAAGAAGAAGCATGCACTGAGATGAGTGAACTAAAGATAATATGGAAGGTGATTTTGAAAAGTTTCCTTTGGTTGAGGTAATTTAAGTTCTCTATTTTGCCGTCACTTCTGGAACTTAGTAGCAGTCTGTACAATCAAACTTAAGGCAGCATTTTGTATACTATAAGAGTGTTCTCCTTTTTCTACTCCTTTTTTCCCTGTCTTGTAAGTTGGGGATAAACGTGCAGTTGGTCTTAGGATCTCAGTGTGCAGTGAAAAATGATATTCCTACTTTTCTATTGTAAACCATGTTGATTTAGGATGTTTTCCATAAATATGTATATATTACGGCAGTACATTTAAAAGAGAGAGGAAAATGAGGAAGTTTTGAAAACCATAAATGGAAAAATGAACATAATATATTGGTGGTAGTCTTGCAATAGTTCTCCATGAAATCTCAATATATCATTTTTCTATTTTATATTATACAATTGTGTGTTGTTTGCTTAAGTTAAAAAATTATGTTGTTGCCAATAGGACTGTGAGTATGAATTCAAATTTTACTAAATTCAGTGTGAGGAGAAATGTATGTGTATGTGTATATACACACACATAATTGTTGTTCAAGAATCTAGAACAAATTCTACTGAGCATGTTACTCATCTGCCTCCTCTTCTCCGTCCCCACAGGAATTATTCTTGACAGAAGTATTTTAAGAGAAAAATCATTACAATGGCCTCAGCAGTACTTAATTCTGTTCCTACTACTGCTTCCCGTTTTGCCCTGTTACAAGTGGATAGTGGCAGTGGTTCTGATTCTGAGCCTGGAAAAGGCAAAGGTCGGAATACTGGAAAGTCTCAAACAAGCAAGTCAACTACAAATGAGAAAAAGAGAGAGAAAAGAAGAAAAAAGAAGGAACAGCAACAGAGTGAAGCAAATGAGGTAACAATTATAAATATTGTGTCTGCTTTCCCAGTAGGCTATAAGCATCATGAGGACATTGTTGATCCATGTGTCCATAGTACCTGGGCCATAGGTACTTGGTGAATATGATTTGAATGAATGGATGTAAATTTGTGTGTATTTAAAGTCAAATGTCATGAACATTTTTTAAATGCCTTTATTTTTTTCTGTCTATGGAAGCTTACATGCTCGTTCCCAAAAGTTTCTGAAAAACAAGGATGTCTTAAAAGGAAACAAAGGTCATTTGTAAATATGACTGGAGATATAACCAGTTAATATTTTGGTATGTGTTTTCTGTACATGCATATAAGGTTGTATGAATATAGATATGTATATACACATATATCTATATATTCATATTTTACTTAAAAATGATATTATATAATAGACTTTTATAATTGGCTTTTAAAAAAAATTAGCCATGAGCAGTTTTCCATATGAATAAATAAAGATCTACATTATTTTAAATGACTCCACGTTATTTAATTGTATGGCTGTATCATACTTTACTTAATTGAACCCTTGTGATAAACATTTAGCTTGTTTCCCTATTTTTTTTTTTTACTGTTATAGACAGTGATCCTATGTTTAGCCTTGAACATACATTTTTATGCATTTTGCTGGTCATCTCTTTCTTAAGGGTAATAAGTGTGTGGCAGGCGCTTCTCCCCTGGACATTCTTAGCATGAATTACATGACCAACGCTTGATGTGTCCGTTTGTTTTTCAAAGAAATGCTGAAAAACAACTCTAGCCTGTGTTTGTCTTTTAATAGAAGAATCAGTCAGGTATATAAGGATCTTTCTCAGTATGGTTTAATGAGAGAAGTAGTAAAAGTGCTTTTTTCTGCTTATATTCATTTTATTTCTCAAGACTTAGAAAAAGCCCTTTTAAGTTATTTATTTGTTATGTTTCTATCACCATTGCTTTCAAAATATCTCTTTAAAATGCTGCTACACAGAGTAATTTTAAAAGAAAAGACATTTTCCCCACCATGTAACCTTTCAGAAGTCCAATCTTTCAGAACTTTTGATTGCCCACAGTTTTCTTTTTGGAATTAAAGATGATGTTGGGGAACAGAAAATAACGTAATAGTGGAGTTACCATTAGACAATAAGAAAACATGTAACTGAGAACGAGCCTGAGGATCTTCTTCCCTTTCTGCTTCCATAGCTATAGTTCTATTGGTCTTTACTTTCTGTAAAGTAGAGCAACAGTCTGCCTGCTAGTGCTTTCTCTCCTCCTCTGTGTTCATCCACAGCAGAAACCAGCTACTTAAAGTGGTGTTTGTATCCCATCACTCCCTTTTACAGAACAATCTATTGATTATCAATTAAAATTGTTGATCCGTGACTTAAAGCCTCTTTATTAGTTTCCAAGGGCTACCGTAACAAAGTATCACAAACTAGGTAGCTTATACAACAGAAATTTATTCTCTAACAGTTCTAGAGGCTCGAAGTCCAAACCAAGGTGTCAGCAAGGGCCATGCTCTCTCTGAGACTCCCAGTAGAATCCTTCCTTGCTGCTTCATACTTGTGTGGCCATCAGTCCTTGGCATTCCTTGGCTTGTGGCTGCATCACTCCAATCTTTGTGTCTGTTGTTATATGCGTTCTCTTTGTGTATCTTTGTCTTCAGCTCTTCTTATAAGGATACCAGTCATATTGGATTAGGGTCCACCGTAATTCAGTATGACCTTATCTTAACTTGACTACATCTGCAAAGACCTTATTTCCAAAGAAGGTCACATTCACAGACATCAAAGGTTGTAGGCCTACAACATATCTTTTGGGGGAATGCAATTCAATCCATTACAGCCTCTCAATATTTTTCTCCTTTGTTTCGACTACAGAGTCTCAGATTTGTTGGGAGTGGCTTGGCCAGTACAGTTTTAGTTCATTATATTACTTTGTGGACTAGGCCCTGTATTTTTCAGGACTAGCAAAGTAGTTGCTAGGGTTGCTTAAGCTATCTTCTCTTGCTATTTAAACTTTTAAATTTGTAAGCTGTTAAACTTTAATCTTTTTGAACCCTATTGGTTTGCATTTTAAAAGCACACTTCTTGTTATCCTGTTTTTTTATTCCTATAAACTGCTTCCCTTTAGTAAAGCAGAATCATTAAAATGGTGGGATAATAGAGTATAATCCATTTTCACTTTTTAATCATTTCATCCAGAAATCCACCAACTAGAAATCCAACAACATTATGTCAAATGCTGGTAAAATTAATATTTTACAAAAATTACAAAAAACACAAATAGTGGCTTTGTGAGTTAGCATAATGAATATTTGGAGTAGTATTTAGAAGTATAAAAATATTATTGATTTCTTCCCAAAAAATCATTAGTATCCCAGGATTGGTAAACTGAATTTAATATATTTTTTGTTTATTTCATAGCTCAGGAATCTTGCTTTTAAGAAAATTCCTCAGAAATCCTCCCATGCCATTTGTAATGCTCAACATGAGCTTTCATTACCAAACCCAGTACAGAAGGATTCACGAGAAGAAAACTGGCAAGAGTGGAGACAAAGAGATGAGCAGGTACATCTAAGTAAATCACATTATTTTGCTTTTTTTCCAATGAATTTATGCATTTTTAAGATGGCAGTACATCTGAATCCAGGACACCACTCTTCTAAGGAGCATCGTGGTTGGATTAATTCACATGTATTTGCTGGTTTTAACAAGAGGTCTTTTTTTTTCCTACTAGAAAAGCAGATTGAGACATTTATTATTTTTGTTAGTTTTGGCAATTCAAAGAAGTTATTTTGTGAGTTTTTAATTTGTCTGCCTTTTTACAAATGAAGGAGAGATAAGTAAGGTAGAACAACAGGATTAAATTATTTCAATTAAGAAAATCACATTTTTAGGGCCGGAGATCTCTTGTTAAAAATACCCAGTGACAGTTTTGTTTAAAAAAGAAAGACTTTGAGGGGAAACTGCCTTTTCAACTTTGATGTAAAATAGTTTATGACATTTGTTTGTTTCTTTAACCTATTTACATGATAGTTTGTTCTTCCGTGCCCCTATAAATAAACATTAAATAACCAAATTAAATAGGTAATTTATTAAGATGAGTCATTTTCTTCTTGTGTGTGTGTGTGTGTGTGCTCTCCAGGAAAGTAACACAAAGACTGGAATGTACTCTAGGAGATGCTGAATGTATGGGAAATGAATAGTTATTTATTTGCTTATCTAGTAAGCTGTCATTTGATCTATTGGGAATAGGTATTGTTCTAGCAGATGTTTGCCTTAATGGAGTGGTTATAGCTGTCATGTTTGGGTAACCAGTTTTAGGAGAACTAGATAATACTAAACTATGCTCTTAACATAAACTATGTTAATTATAACATTTTCTTTGGGATTTTGTAGTGCCTCGGTCTCATCATGATTGTCAGTTATGACACTAGAGCTGTGCACAAATGCTGTTCAAAAGATATTTCCAGGCACTGATATACTGGATAAATCATCTTGTATTATTCTGGGGGGGAGTTATTTGATTTTTCTTTTCCTCCTACAGCATTCATTATGACACATTCTTCCGGTTTACTAGTATAAATGTAATGATCTGTTAGTTTAGACAGTAATAGAATTTACCAGTGTCTTCACCAGAGAGAATTTCTCCTGGTGGCCCAAGGGGCACTGGAAAATTAATGAAGGAAAACTACTCAAATTCGCACCAAAATGAATTCTGTGTAATATGGGAACTTGAGCACAGATATTTGATTGCCCTTCTTCTGGCCCCCGTGATTGCTGCCAAAATGACCAGGTAATTATGAAAAGGAAATAGTTGACTTGGCCCTGACCCTATATAAGAATGTCATCTAAGGCTCATGAACTTTCTGCTGGATATCCTGTTGACAGGTCACTTAGGAAAACCTGGTACCTTATTTGGAAGTCTCTTTTATAGGAAAATAGTTAAGGTCGTGGCTAGTAGAGTAGATCCTGGGATAATTACACTGACGAGTGAAGAGGAGATAAGGGCAAACCTTGGAACAGATGGATAGTATACCACCTGGAATCTATTTTACGGTATGGAATAATAGATTTTCAAAGTAGGGACCAGGCCGTAACTATACTAGGCAGAAAGCATACAGTGTGGTGAGTGTTCTTCCTCACATAGTAGGGAAACAACACTATGAGAAACTCCATGTATTGAAGTCGGAGCCAGTCAAAAAGCTGGATATAGAAATCTTGCCTGTTATGTAGCTGCTTATTTTAAACACAAAAGATAAATTATGCTAAGATAAAGTTCCCTACTCCTAAATCACCAAAGTGATAATGTAAATTTACATCAGCTAGGCCTCAGCATGAAATCTGAGAGCTAGCATTATACAGCAACCATCCAGTAAAGAATCATCCACTCCGCCTACTTATGAGCAAACATGGATCTTAGTTGATCTCATGTCAACTGAAGACAAGTTTCTGCTACATAAAAGGAAAAGAACACTGTATTTAGTGTCCGAAGTGAAAGCATACTTTGAAAAAGATTTGCTACAGGGAACAGAAGTTGATTTTAGACAGGACCTATTTTTTGCTTTAATAAAAACCAAGGGGCCAGAACATTTTGTAAAAGTCAAGAGGATAGTAATATTATCTAACAAAGTGAGATAATATACTGAGATGAAAAAGTGGTTAAGAGAAATCGAAAGGGAGATGGGAGAAATAAGAAATTGGGGAAATAAAATATTATCAGAATCAAAAACTTCATTAGAAGGACTAAAGAACAGAGTATACCTTGAAGAAAATTGAGTCAATTGTGTGAAGAAAAATGTGAGATAAGTTTTGCCAGTAAAATGGACATGATAGATTGGAGCACAGAAGTGAAATCCAATAGAGGCATAATTAGTGTCCCTGAAACAGATAGAACAGAGGCAGTCATTAAAGATAATGTTGATAGAAATTTTCGTAAGCTAAAGACTTGAATCTGAGCTTGAAAGAACTGAAGCCTTTTTTAAAGACTTGTTTTGAAGACTTTTAAAAAAAGTCTTTTTAAAAGATTTTAATTTTAAGAATGAGAAGCAAGGAAATAATAGTATAAATAGATGCATGAGAGAAAACAGGTTACCTAAGGATGAAAAAATCAGGCTGGCTACTTTAAAGGACAGGATTGAAATGTTAAGACCAACAATTCCATATCTAGCCAAGATGTCATTTGTGTGAATGCTAAAGAAATACATTCTCAGACATGAAGGGCTGAGAAAGCATACCACCATTATCTTTTCTGCAAATTTTTCTGAGATGTACTACTGCCAATTAAAAGGCAAATCTAAATAGCACAATAATTGGAAAGCACTGGTGGTGAGAATTGAAGCTAGTTCAATACAGAATTAACTCTAAGTAGTGATTGTAAATGTGGTTATTAAAGAGAACATAACTCACTTGAAGAATTTGCCTAAAATGAAATCCCTATTTATGAATTTAAAAAATTAGGAAGGAAACAGGTCAGAGAAGTCAGTAGGTGTTTCAGATTTTTTCACAGTGATAACAAAAAATAGTTCCAAATGTGTGTTTTTTTAAATTTAAAGAGAACTAATTCCTTTCATTCTGTAAGTTTTAAATCACTTGAAGAAAATAAAATGAAAACATAGTCTGGCAAGTTATAAAGCAAAGGAAATTGTAAGGAAGCCTTTGAAATGAAATATAAAAAAGGATAACAGACAAATACTTTGTTATATAAGTAAATATAAATAGTTGGAATTACTCATTAAAAGACAAAGACCAAATGGGACAAACTAAACTACATTTTGATCTTTTTTTTTTTTTTTGAGGAAGATCAGCCGTGAGCTAACATCTGCTGCCAATCCTCCTCTTTTTGCTGAGGAAGATTGGCCCTGAGCTAACATCCGTGCCCATCTTCCTCTACTTTATATGTGGGATGCCTACCACAGCATGGCTTGCCAAGCGGTGCCTTGTCTGCACCCAGGATCCGAACTGGCGAACCCAGGGCTGCCCGAAGCGGAACGTGCGCACTTAACTGCTGTGCCACTGGGCCAGCGCCTACATTTTGATCTTAATTCTAGTCTTTTCTCTAACATTAAAAATTGTGATACATTAACCCTGAAAGGATAGATTCAGCCTTTTCAAGATATTGTATATTTTGCTGAGGTATTCTACCAAAGCTTCTGGAAATTGTAGAAATGATCTTTATTGCATATTAGTGTCTTAAATGTTTTAAAATACTGGCATAAATTAGACTATGTGTTGACAACTATGTACTAATTCTCAGATTCTCAGACAGTTTTGAGCACCCTACAGATGATTGGCCCTGTAACAAAGAGCTTTCTTCAGGATTTTAGAGCCAGTTGTCCATTCATTGGACAGAGCTTTGTGACCTTGGAGCAAATTTCTATAATATGGGATAAGACCCTGCCTAACCAAGGCTTGACTTTCATGTCTGAGGTCTTTCAGATGTCTTTGAGACTTCTGAATGACTGAAGACACCATAAACCAAGGTAAAGACAAACCATGGATAGGGACGAGATATTTGCAACACGTATGATCAACAACCGATTTATATCCAGAATATATTAAAGACTCTAACAAGAGACAACTCTAATGATAACAGTGGACAGAAGAGAAGCTTTAATGGTCAATAAATATCTGAAAAGATGTTCAAACTCTCTAGTAGTAGGAAAATGCAGATTCACACAATGAGATACATGTATGTAGTAAAAGTACAAAACAAGCATGGGATGACACACTCCAACTTCCAGCTTCAGAATAGTGGTTGCTGTGGGAGGGAGAAAGGAAAAAAAGATTAGAATGGGACTTCAGTGTCATGTGTAATGTCTTATTTAGTTCTAAAAATAGAGGAAATATAGGGAAATGTTGAATCTTTTACAGGTGGGCAGTGAATATATGGCATTTATTTCTTGTATATTTAAAATATTTCCTATTTTAGAAGAAAAGAAATGTTTTTATATCATTTTCCATTTCGTAAACTTTTATCTATCCCAGCATACTTCAGTGTGGAAAGATAGTCTTATCTTATATTCCCTATTTCTTTGCAGAGAGGTATACATCAAAAGAAGATATATATTTTACACTTGAAATGGGTGAATTTTGTTGTGAGATGTGATATATGAAATATATGAATTATATCTCAGTAAAGCTATTTAAAAAAAGATGACTAGGCCATGGCTTTGATTTAATTGTACCATAATTTTTACTATTTCTTTTAATATTGAATCAAGATAAAGAGACATATTGTTCACCAACACCTGTTGCCTGGGAATAAATCTCTGTGTAGATGTTGTCCATGAACAACGTCTTGTATTCATGACACATTGTCATTATTGATTCTGGTGTACCCTTTTTTCAGGCTGCATCATGGCTCAAAAATAATTAACTGAATAGAAAAGTCTCTTCTCATGGGCTGTCAGTGATAAACAGATCAAATTCTATTGTGTATTTCTTCTTATTGATTCAGACTCCATTCATCACTGGTTTTGTGCAACTCTAAAGTAAAATATCTTCTAGGATGTGTACTATACCACACTGTATCCTTCAATCCATCAGATAAAAGTATTTACCAGTAG